CTCACTGGAAAAAAAAAACACATTGGATCTAGAGTCCAGACTCTTAAAAACATCGATAAGAAAAAGTACTCTTGATTCAATCAGAATCTAGCTTAAATCAAGAACCAAGCCTCTTAGTTTAAGCGGACTTCGTTTTGTTGATGAAAATTACCTCTCTCCCGATCACTTTTTATCCGGTGTTCTCAGACGATAGCTATTTCGATGATATAAATCATCATCATCAGGTCTTCGACTTCGACTTCGGTAAACACTAACGGTCACATCTTAAATTGTTAAAACTTACTAAAATTTACTAAGATTTACTAAAATTTACTATAAAACACTTTAAAAACTCGTGGGTGCACCCGTCGCGAACGCGTTCTTATCACCGGCGTTCCGGCCGTTGCGTCATCGAGATGCCCGTTCGATAGCTATCGTCTGAGAACACCGGATAAAAAGTGATCGGGAGAAAGGTAATTTTCATCAACATAATGCAGCCCGATAAAAATAAGTTCAACTTTAAATTGGACTTCGTTTTGTTTCAAGCAAAAATCCGATCGAATCAAGAGTATATTTTTTCTTGTCAATGTTTTCAAGAGTTTGGATTATAGCCAATGTGTTTTTTTTCCAGTTTTCCCCCTTTTTCCGGATTTTCCGAGAGATCGTATCATGTCGCGCGGGAATATGGCGACTTTTCCCCGTTAAATCAATTTGAAGGGAGCTATACGGTAGGTAAGTGCCTTGTTTACCGCTGTTCCTGAAATATTACGCCGGACCGGCACAATGATCGATTTTTCATCAAGAATTCAAGACTCCCGCGGTATCCTCATTGTGAGGACGAGGACTTCCAACCTCTCGAGAGCTTATCTGCCGTTTCTGAGCTAAAATTCGCTTCAACTTCACGGTGTCCTTCGTACGAATAATCCGAGGAGTGCAGGGAAAATGGCAACGCTGATGAAGAGCAAAAGAAAGGGGATGGGGGGGGGGGCGGGCAGTGAAGTGACTGGGATTCGAGTGACGTGGATTTACCGATCGGGGAGTTATGTTCTTTAGACATAGTTGAGTGGACTCCGAGAAAGTCACATTACTATACTGCCGTGTTAAGGAAGAACGCCGTATGAACATTCGAGAGTTGCCAAATTTCCTTGGATAAAATGTTTATTTTTGAGGAAACTTATGAATATTTTTTCTTGAATTTTTCAGACTCTTTAGATCTAATTACAAATAAAATTATCTGAGAAATTGGCAAAAAATACCCATAACTTTTTCTGGAAATCAGTGATTTGCCAGGGGAAATTTGGCAACGCCTGAAGGCTCATACGGCGTTCTTTCTTGGCACGGCAGCATATTGCCGTGCTAAGGTAGAACGCCGTAAGAACATTCGAGAGTTGCCAATCTCTCCGGATAAAACGTGCGTTTCTTAGGAAAGTTATGCATATTCTTCCGTGAAATTTTCAGATGTTTTAGATAAAGTTGCAAACGAAAATATCTGAAAAATTTGACAAAAAAATTAACAATTATTCCAATAAATTTGGTTTTTATCAAAGGAGATCTGGCAACGTTTAAAAGCTCATAATGCGTCCTCAGCACGACCGTTTACTGCCGTCCTAAAGAAAAACACCGTGTAAGCATTCGGATGTTCCCATTATATTTCCCATTCACTCTATTTTTTCTTTGAAAAACTCGTCATCGTGATTTCTTGCGGGTACGTCCTCGAGTTTCCTTCTCTGTTAGTAGAATATCTGTCGCAGATATCTAGAATAAATCTCGTAAACTCTGAAAATTTGATAAAATGCCTGACTTGACTATTTGCCTGCGACATATCGATGGCCAGAAGGTGAAACCGTTTGCGACGTTGCAGACTTCCTGTCATACTTTATTTTTTCTTCGGAAAACGAGTCAACGTAATTTCTTGGAAAATTCCTTGAACTTTCTTTTGTTGAATTGTTGTTTTTATGATTAAATACATTTCCACTAAAGTTATTACTTTGATATTATTTGTCAATTAAGTAATAAACTTTAATAACGAAAATCATAATACTTTGTATTACAGAGAGACTCATTAGATTATCAATACGAATCCACATAATTGGAATACATGGGAGTGACTTATTAAAATCATCAATAATATTAAAGTTATAAAGTCTTTAACTTTTTTCTCTTTTCCCCCTTTTTTTAGTGTGGAAGAGGGAACTTTTTCGGTAAAAGTATTACTGACGGGCCACAGGCCAAAGTCAGTAATAGACACTAGCTTGCTTGAATGAACAATAGATGAAAAATTAAAAAATTAAAGAAAGAAAGATTTAATTTAAAACAAATTTTAAAAAAAAGAAAAATTAAAAACAATTGAAAATTACATCAAAAACAATTATAATTATGATAGAAATACCAAAGAGATCAATTTTTAACCATTCCATTAAGATATCATATCAATATTTAATATAAATCAGAAGGAAGCAGAAGCAAGAATCAAGAAAAATCAGATATTTTTTTATGAGGAGATGAACTTTCATTCTGATCTTTCAATTTGTCCATATGAATTATTTTCATATTGATTTTTATGAAGATTATCCAAATTAAAATGTATAACAAGTTTACAAATACAATTTTGATGTGGAATGTCCATTTTATTTCCTCTTTCTCGGCCAGAGATCGCCACCGCTCAATTTTTTTAACACGGCGAGCGGCGTCGCGTCGTCGCTGGAGCTCTGCATTCGCGATCACGTCGACCCGCAGAACTCGCAATAAACCCGAGCTTGATAAAATCTGGACGAGCGAAAAAATTTCTCCCGACTTGGCCGACGCACGGTGGATCGAGTCAATGGAGATGTTGCATGTGTCAGGAATTTGCGATTAGGGTGTTGATTCTTTTTTAAAAGTTCGCGAGAAACACGATGATGCCTCTGGTTTTCTCTAAAATTAACTCCCAAGCTCAAAAAAAGCTCTCAAGTTGAAGCCAAAATGGAGGGAATATCCCACGCTACCCTGAGAGTCCACGTCTACATCAAGACAAACTCTCAATGCAACGATAGGGAGCAAATACATTAGCAGTGATGCCGTGTTTTCAGTTTTGGAGTCCCCAAATAAAGTGGCAGCCCTGTCAATGTATTTGCTCCCTATCTTTGCATTGAGAGTTTGTCTTGATGTAGACGTGGAATCTCAGGATAGCGTGGGATATCCCCTCCATTTCGGCCTCAACTTGAGAGCTTTTTTTGAGCTAGGGAGTTGATTTCAAAGAAAACCAGTGGCACCATCGTGTTTCTCGCGAACTTTTACATAAGAATCGACAGTCAAATCGCAAATTCCTCACACATGCAACATCTCCATTAAAGAGGTCGGACATGAGATTTTTTACTAGAACTGCAAATTCTGATGTTCATCTCGTCACATCTTACACTTTAAGGGGTGCTCCTAGAAGAAAATTTAACGAGGAAACCAATGGAACCACTTTCGGAAACCTCAAAGTTTTGTATAAACGAAGTTATCAGTGTTTAAAGTTTCCAAATTTTGTCCGACCTCTCCTACCGACTCGATCCTCTGTGCGACGTCTCATCGAGTCCAACCCGATCGGGCGAATCCACTCTTTTGTTTCGGACTTTCCTTATGCGCCCACTCTTCCAAGAGAGTCGCCCTTCACGCAACGCCCCTCCCATCCGTTTTTTACGTGTTTTCTACACAGCCAAGTGCGAACTACTTGTCAGTCTAGTGTAAGTGCACCTTCGTGACACGGCAGTACCTTTCTCTCAGAGTTCGTCCAATTTAGAAATACGAACCGAATAGGTGAGTAGACGGAGAAAAAAACTTCGTGTGTGGGACCCGAAGTTTAGGTCATATGGATCTCTGAAGTTTTCGGATTGAGCATCTGAACACTTAAGGTCTAGCTGCCGAAGTTCAGGTCAGACATCTGAAACTTCATTTCTTACATCTGAAGTACTTCAGATGTGAGAACCGAAGTTCTCCGGATGTGAAAACCGAAGTACTTCGGTTGTAAGAACTGAAGTTTCAGATGTTTGACCTGAACTTCGGCAGCTAGACCTTAAGTGGTCAGATGCTCAATCCGGAAACTTCAGAGATCCATATGACCTAAACTTCGGGTCCCACGCACGAAGTTTTTTTCTCCGTGTAGACGCTTTTCGGTTTATAGATTCAGTCCGGAGAACCGACCACTTCAACTTCAGTCCTGTGAACCGAAAGCTCAGTTCTGCGAACCGAAAAACTTCGGTTCGCATGGAGAACGTGCTGCATTGACCGAAGTTCGGCGGAAGCGTCTACTGAACTATTCAGTTCGTACACGGAGAAAAAAAATTCATGCGTGGGACCCAAAGTTTAGGTCATATGGATCTCTGAAGTTTTCGGATTGAGCATCTGAACACTTTCGATCCAGCTGTCGAGGTTCGGATCACACATCTGAAACTTCAGTTCTTACATTTGATGTACTTCGGTTCTCAAATCCGAAAACTTCGGTTCTTTCATCTGAAGTACCTCAGATGTAAGAACTGAAGTTTCAGATGTGAGGTCCGAACCTCGGCAGCTAGATCTAAAGTGTTCAGATGCTCAATCTGAAAACTTCAGAGATCCATATGACCTAAACTTCGGGTTCCACGCACGAAGTTTTTTTCTCCGTGTAATACCATGATTTTCATCCAGGACGTCGTGTTCAAGAGCGCTCAGAGTGCCGTATTCTATTCGTGTTCAACCACAGCTGTCGTTTCACTCAAGAAAACACGATTTTTTTTACTCAAACTATGAAGGGCTGTAACTCTGAAGTTCGAGTCAGACATCTGAAGTACTTCGATATATACCAGAGGGTTCAGGTCACACATCTGAAGTACTCCGGTGCATACCGAAGCGCCTCGACGTCTGACCCGAACTTCGGCGGCTCGACCTCAAGTTTTCGGATGCGTGATCAGAAAACTTCTGAGATCCATATGACCTCAACTTCGGGTCCCATGCACGATGTTTTTTTCTCCGTGTGGATAATACGACGATTAAAAACCTATTAGAGAAATGAATTGACTTACGAATAGATTCTACGACGAACGGAAGGAGTTTTTGGTTCCCTTACCTGCACAAAAGAAGAAAAACACAAAAATTAGAATGCGTCATTGCTTCGACTCTGCATGATTAGACGACCACTTAAGGATTTATTTCGACTGAGTTGATATTATAATTTCAATTAATTTGCTCCGCACTTACTAGATTGGAGGTCAGTATTGTCGTACCAGGATGAGCAGAGGAAACGGTCCGTACGCCATCCACCGATGTGTCACAAGTAGGGGAGGTCCTATTTGAAAATGTTTATATGGGGTGTGAGGGGTGTTACCCTTTCTGGCACCTGGGGGCCATGACCCCCCCCCCCCAAAAAAAAACGTTGCCTGAATCGTGCTCTACGTAAAACTGTGGTTAAGAAACGTGTATCAAAGTGCTTAACTTCGTACCTTTTCTGGTGCTCCATTCTGAAATACAGCAATTGGGGTTCGTAATGTTTTTGGGGGAAATAATTCTGAAATATCGCAAACTCAGGGCACGTGCTTTCAATTCCTGTGCCATGATTTCGTTTTAAATTACCTTGGTTATAACCTCGATGCCAACCTTGGTGACAACAGCACCTGCTCGCGCTCTTAATCAAATATTTACAAATAAAAAACCATTTTGTAAGGGCATTGGTGATGAGCTACGAACCAACGTTTGCAAATACTCCATAAAGTTAAACACGGCGTGCTTGCTGTCTGATTTTTGTTCATTGCTTCTCCACCGAGAGAAAGCAATGGTACATCATGCATTTTTGTACTTCTTTTCGATTACATCTCATTTATTTATAGCCACAGCTCGAGGCGCCGCCCAACAAAAATTTTTGCGTTTAACCACACCTTATAGATGTTGTGTGGCTAAATGTAACAATTAAAATTGAGTGTGGCTAAATGCAACAAATTTATTTTATTCTATTCGTAATTGAATTTTTAGAATGCGTCATTAATTAATTTTTTTGCCCGAGAGACTGACAATGAGTATGATCATGCGCATAAAAAAGCGACACTTTCCGAAGAACTAAAACGAACTTCTAATCTAACCTAATCTAATCTAATCTCACCTAACTTAACACTATAGTCTCTATAATGTAATGAAAATACGCTGGAGAAAAAAATACTTCATTTAAGTAGACTAAATAGTATTGAATTGCCGTCATATGGATCTTTAAGATTTTTGGATCAAGAATCCAACAATTTGAGGTCCAAGAATGTCGAATTCAAGGGACATACCCGAAGTACTTCGGTTTTTGGTTGACTCCATTGGAAGGATCAACCGAAATACCTTAGTGCTTCACGTGTGTGACCCCAACTTCGGCAGCTCCAGTGGTGGCGTGGCGTGCTATGCGATATATCGATTGTTATGCCATTTAAACCTATGGAAAAGGATCGATGATCAGGGTGTTCGCAGCAAATACCTTAATAGTCGATTCTTTATCATAGGTTTAAATGGCAGAGCCATCGATACATCGCAAAGCACGCCACGCCACTGGGCAGCTCGACCACTTTTTCTCCATTTAAACGTATGTTAAACAATCGATTACGGCATCCTGTTTCACCTAGAATCGATATTCAACGGATTTGAATGGAGTCCTAACAGTCTTGCCAACTTGCTGAAATCGCCAATGGTTACAGCATCGAAGCCGCAGGCAAAGCCATCTATCATCCCATCTCCGCCGCCATGTTTACATTGGCGGATCCAGCGAATTAGCAACATTGTGTTTCTCCATTTAAACCCATGGAAATGTATCGATTCTTAAATGAATCAGGTGCTCCGACAAGAATCGATTGTTTAACATAGGTTTAAATGGAGGGAATCCGGTGTTGCCAAATTGCTGGAGCCGCCGCTGCGGCAGGACAATACAGCGTCGTGACCGGTGGTGGTGTCCTTTCACTTTTCCCGGCGACAACTCTAGCGACGCACAGTGGATCGGGTCAATTGGATAGGTCGAATAAAAAAATTTCGACTGAAACTGCAAATTTTGATGTTTAATTCAAGACATTTTAAATTGTGAGGGGTGCTTCTAAAAGAAAATTTCACGAGAAAGCCAATGGAACCACTTTTAAAACCTCAAATTTTTGCATGAACGGAGTTACGAGCTTTTAAAGTCTCCAAATGTTGTCCGACCTCCTTTATTGATTCGATCCGTTGTGCGACGCGACGCCACCCAGTGGAACGAGCACATAGGCAGAGGCAGATCCAGCAATTTGGCAACATCGAATTTCCTCCATTTAAACCTATGCTAAATAATCGATTTTTTCCGGAGCACCTGGCCCCTCTAATAATCGATATATTTCCAAAGGCTTAAACTGAGAAAAGACAATGTTGCCAATTCGCTGGATCCGCCAATGCACATAGGTGAGGTCGGACATGGCATTTTTGGCGAAAATTTCAAATTTGGATGTTTATTTTGTCACATTTAAATTTTCGAGGGATGTTTCGGGAAGAAAATTTCACGAGGAAACCAATGAAACCACTTTTAGAACCTCAAAGTTTTGTATGAACGGAGTCATAAGCGTTTTAAGTTTCCAATCTTGTTCCAAAGTTTCCAAAATTCGACTCGATCCATCCACCGTGCGCCACCGCCGGCGAAAGTGAAGTCCGGCAACGCCGGGGATCAACGACTCAACAAGCCCCCCCCCTCTCCCCCGCCGCGGGGAGGAAATGGGGGGCGGGCGAGGAGGGAGCCAGTTGGCGAGTTTGATGAATTTACGGCACGGATGGCGAGCTGGCGCTGGTCGGCCCCGCGAAAGTTCAAGTTCGCTACCGGGCCCGCCCGGCAAACTTTCTCGCCTTATCGCGGGCGGCGGAATGCACGTCGCGCAAAAAAAAAAGAGAGAAAAAGTGGAAAAAACAATATGAGGAATAACACTGTATATGTATTCAGGAATCACACTGGAAGAAAAAGTCTCTTGGATTCAGAGTCCAGACTCTGAAAATTGACAAGAAAAAAGACCCTTCTTTCAATCGGATTTTCGCTTCAATCAAAATGGGATCCGCTTATATTAGGAGTCTTGACTCTCGATTCCCTTACCTGGAAAAAAGTGCCCTCGCCATATGACCCGTATCCCTTCAATTTTGAGTTTAGTCCACATATCTTTTAGGAACTTAAATGAATGACCCTTGTGGTGCTTTTGTGTCAATTTTCAAGGAATTAAAGGCATTTTTTCAAAAACTACAGTCCGTCAAAGTGAGCTTTCCGTGTGATTTTGCTGAGCATCAACATTGGCCCCTAGCCCCTCCCCCCCCCCAAAAAAAAAAAAATTCAGCGTACTCCACAATCGTTTAACGTGCATAAGGAACCCATGGATATGGTCTTCTCTGCAAATTTGGAATGAAATTGAACAGATCGATTCTGAGATGGCTGTACACAGATTTGGGGAACACACATTTTTTCAAGTATGGTTATTTTGACTCCAGGGACCTTAAAACGTCTAGGAATGATGAAATTTCAAATTTTTTTCCTCCCCCTTGAAGGATGACACTAATTCCTCTACCCTAGGGTGGCGAGAAAGTAAAAGGTCTCGTGGATTTATAGTCCAGATTCTTAAACAAAATTGACAAGAAATGCTTGAATCGAAAGGAAATTCGTTTAAATTAAGAGTCTTGACTCTCGATTCCCTACCTGGAAAAAAAGTTTCTTAGATTCAGTGTCCAGATTCTTAAAAAAATTGACAAGAAAAAATACTTTCTGCTTGAATCGAAGGGAAATCCGCTTAGAGTAAGAGGTTTGTCTCTCAATTCGAGCAAAAATCCTATTTAATCGAGAGTTTCTCTCCGTCAAATTTTTTCAGAATCTGGACTCTGGATCCAAGAAACTTTGTCTTTTGTTTTTCAAAGTTTAACCATTCGACGGGTGATGTCGGAAAAATTGACATTTCAGTCTGCAGATCAATCATTAAGGAGGGTCCGTACTGGAAATCACCATCCGAAGTCCTTAAATAAAGTCAGAAGTACTGTTTCCATTTTGCAGCCGATTTCAATGGATCGATATCGATGGTGGGTTAGAGAAAGTACTTTTGACTCTATTTAAAGATTTTGGAAAATTCTTTTCGGCACGAAAATTTCTCAAGAATTTATCTACAGACTAAAATTCCGATTTTCCAGAAGAATCCTTCCTGCAATCCTAGGGTAGCGTCAGCTTGAAATAGTTACGATGAATTTTATGTTGAAAAAAGTTGCTTTACATTTTGCGTTTATTGCGTGTGGTACATAATTTTAAGAATCGATACAATTCCATAGCTATAAATTGAAGGGGGACAGCATAAAAAACGCGTGAATCACTAATTGATTGATGGTGGAGGTTGAAATCTCTAATGATCAGTAGGTTCGGAAGCGCGAATCGGTGGGAGAAGGAATTGTTTTGGAGGCTGTTTTCTTGTCTAATTTTGGGCCTTGCGCAGTGACACTGCCCTCGGGACGTTCCGGGCACTCTCTCTTCTCGAGACTTGCCCACGAGGCAGTGGCGAGGCCTGAACGATCGATTATCCATATTTCCCCATTTAAAGCTCTGGAGAAGAATCGATTGTTAGGTTGTTTTGTATGTTCATCGATCCTTCTTCATACACCGAAAAAAATGATATGCTGTTTTGGCACCTAGGATGTCAATAATGTGTCTGGTCATCCTAAGATGCTACATTGATTGCCCACGCAGTTGAATTTGCATTCTTAGGATGTAAAGTTAACTGAGAGGGCTGTAAAGGCAGCATTTTGGGATCACCAGACACATTTTTGACATCCTAGGTGCTGAAACAGCATACTATTTTTTTCAGTGTAGGTTTAGACGACAGATCAATCGATATATCACAAAGTGCGAAACGCCACTGCACAAGATAATTCCAGATCTCGGAAGATTTTGTTCTTGATGCCGGAATCACACGCTGAATGAGGGAGCTGAATAAGGCTTGAAGGTGGAAGTCATCAGTCCGATGCGATGCCTGAAATTTGCGCGTGTCGCGCGAAAGTTAGTAACAATTCTCAGCGATCATCGGATAACGTCGGATTTGTTCGAATAGATGTGATACACATCTGGATGAA